TCTCTCTCTCTCTCTCTCTCTCTCTCTCTCTCTCTCTTGCTCGCTCGCTCTCAATCTGTGTGTATGTTTGTGTTGATAACCGACAGCTTGCTTAGGTGCCAGCAGGACCACGGATTGCGACAGGCGCACCCGTAGAGTACCGCCACGTGTCGCAAGCACCACAGCGTTCCGCCTTTGAGGAATTCTCCAGAGTGCAGAACTTACACGTCCAGAGTAGATCTCGCACACCTTTGGAAGATGCTGACGAGGCAACTACCGGTCGCTGCACTCCACAAGCGTCGCACTGCAGTGCGAGCGGTCTGTTCACAAGCGTGCACACCTTACACTCCCATGTCCCATCTTTCTTCTTCGCAAGTTCCTGCGCGTGGCTATCCTCTCCTAACTCCCTTCTCCCACCAGAGTCAGCTACCCCCCTCCTCCTCTCACTCTCCTCCACACGGCGATCATTTCCACGTTCACCCCGACCACCACCACCATATCGGTCGTCCTCCATGGTCGGTCCTCCATGGTCTTCCTCGTCAATCCTAATGGGTTCATCTAAGGTGTTGCTAGCCCCCCCCTGGCAATCTCTCCGATCCCTCAATACCCTCCTATCTGAACTCATCAAGTCGGCGTTCGTACTGCGTGTCTGAAGCCCTCCCCCCTGAGGAATACCCCGATCATTATCCCTCGAGCTGCCACGTGTCCACAAATCGCGGCGGCTTGAAGCACCCTCTACACCCACAGATGGGCCCTCATTTGGGCTAATCATCGTCCCCTTACCCGGTATGCTTGGATGTCCCAGATCATCACTTTCACTGCCATTTGCCACAGGGGTTCGCTCTGCGGGGAGTGCGCGGCGGCTGTCCACGTCATATCCACGTGGCGCACACTCAGAAGTCCCACGTGGCCCACCTTGACTAGTAGGAGAAGATGTACTTGGCGCATCTTCCGAAGACCCACGTGGCCCACCCTGAGAAGATCCACGTGGGGCAACCTCAGAAGATCCACACCACACGTCATCTCGAAGCCTCCTCTCAGCGGCCATTGCCGCAGCAGCAGCTGCGGGAACATGCCGCATGAGTGACGTGTCACCTCCCAATCGTCGAGGTCCCGACGGGAGTAGCTGATTCACTCTGGCTCTCTTCTCTGCGGCCACTGCAAGCACGTTGCGCTTGGGGTGGGAAGGAGGAGGGTTGTGAGTGATCCCTCCCAGTCGCTGGCCTCTGCAGTCGAACCCTGCACCGCTGCCAGACACTCCTTTGGCAATCAGTTCGTCGCACTCTCTGTTGAGCTCGTCGAGGAGTTTATAGAACTGCGCATTATGAGGGCCAACTTCGATATGCACCAGCTCATGAAGCATAGTACCAAGGACGTGTTCGTAAGCAAAGAACACAAGATCGTTGCCTGGTTGGCGAAGCCGAATACGGATCTCCTGACCACCGTCGATATTCAAACCCAGAAGATTGCGTTGGGGAGGGGAGAATTCCGACAAAAGATTCACCCGCCATCGCCGCCGACGCATGATGGGTTGCACCTGTTTGGCAACGGCTTCTAGAAGTCTCCGAGCTTCCACATCATTGGCCTTGCCCAAGGTCTTAATATCCCACACCTTGTCGTAGCTGCCATCTGTGAAAGACACTTGCCGTGCCATCTACTTAACGACGCAGACAAACCAGACAGAAAAGACAGACTCGCAGAGATTGAGAAACGGTACACAGAGAGAGAGAGAGAGAGAGAGAGAGAGAGAGAGAGAGAGAGAGAGAGAGAGAGAGAGAGAGAGAGAGAGAGCAGTGTCAGTCACACGTACCTGGCAAAACACTTGTCACGCCATCTAATTGCTGAGACAGACAGACAGACAGACTCGCAGAGATTGAGAGAGGTACGGAGACTGCGTATATGAGAGAGAGAGAGAGAGAGAGAGATTATACACATCTAGATGTGTATAAGAGACAGGTGTATAACATACCTTGTACATGCACATCTACCACAAACAGGGCCAAATGATTAGATCGAGTCCCATAATTTGCCGACAAAAAAGTTCCATGCAC